AGAATCTAGTACTAAACTGACATTCTTTAGTCACCTCGAACTGTTGATTGGAAAATCTTTTCCGTCAAATTAGACAAAGTAATGTTGAAGTGTGAACAATAAGCCGAGAAAAGTATAAGAGTTTAGGAAATATCCGCTGGACTCGATCGATGCGAAGACAATTGTTTCACCAACTCGACGCTTCACAAAGAACGCGATTGACTTCAAACCGAAACAGGAGTTGACACGTTATGACTGTATTTTGTTCATAAACAGGAAAGTTGCAAGAGTTGTGTATTWTAAGAGGCTTTCGAGTAAGAAATCTTACGTGCAATAATCTTTATATGCAAAGGTATTAGAGTTCTTGTACGGCATGGTTTAGCTGCGTCAATAGAGTCAAATCTGTTCCTCCTGACTGACAAGATATGGCGAACATGTCACTTAATGGTAGCACTATCTTAACTCAAAGTACTCCAACTCGTTCAGCATCTACAAAAGTCATTTATACACTAGTTCTAGCTACAATAATGGTTCTTATAGCTGTTGGCAATATTCTTGTACTTGTTGTCCTTCATCACCAACGTAAGCGGCCTAGTCTTCGAGTAACAAACCTATTCTTAGCGAATCTAGCAGTGGTTGACCTTTCCATTGGACTGCTTCTTTTACCTATGTCCATATGTTTAGTTCTCGTTGGAGGTTGGAAGTTTGGTCATGCTTTTTGTCAAATAAATGGTTTCATAAATATGACTTCAGGAGCTACTTCAATCCTTACATTGGCAGCAATTAGTCTTGACAGGTACTAAAGTGATATCTAACTATTTCATTATGTACTATAATTACAAAAATAAATSGGAAAAATTGAGAAAAATCTGATTTATGGAGTTAACAGATCAGTTGTCGATGCTGAGAGATTTTAAGCAATTAATMAATTTTATGTTTGTCGGTTGTATTTCTTCTTAACAACTTATTGTAACCATCGAGTATTACATCGATTTCAAGTTTACAATTTTGTACAGACAGAAGTGCTTTGACTGATAAATGCCGGTTGTGATGCAATAAAAATCTAATGAAATTTAAAACGGTGCGCTACTTGGCTATACTAAAGGTTTACTATCTGAACTTCAGAGGATACCCTACACCAAACGTTTGTAAAMATTCATGTTTAATTATTTTGTTCTATATTCTGAAGTCAGAAATTACTGAAGAARTGTTATTTTCCCACATTTAAAAAATGCTCTTCACCAGTGTTATTCGAGTGGAGGGCAGGTGTTTCGAAAGAACTGGAAAAAAATGATAAATGATTATGTTCATTGAATTYTTTTCGGAATTGTTGTCATGTGACACCTTGGCTATAAGATCAATTTAATCGTTTCCTTCATCAAAGGAACTGCTCCTTAAATGTTATTAAAGATGGTTTAATCTCCTATCTAGCTCGTAATAAAACAAATATATAGTCATCTAAGAGGAAATAACGTGTACATTGAAGTCTTTTAGTGGTCGATATAACCGAAGAAACGTGTATACGATCTGTATATTTACAGCATCATTAAAATAATATTRATACAGGGGCAGCGGCTTTTACAATACATCAAGTACGTGCCTCATAACTGAATGACTTTGTGGGGATTTTCAGTGATTATACCAAAACAATCARCATCTCAAACACCGAGGGCACAAACAAATGAGGCGTAGTCGAGTCTCGTGGATGATTATTGGGTTATTTGCAAAAGTTGGTTAATTTCTAAAAATGTTTGATCAGTGAACCAAAAGACAATTACACAAAGTGATTTTTTCTTTGTYCTATATTCATTGATTATTCATTAAAAAAGAAATATTTAAAAAACCTTATCTAAAATAATGGATTAAAATCATTTGATTGATTATTTTTGTTATGATTATTTGGGGGGTTTATTTGATAAAAATTGACTTGACTTTTTTTCTCCGTAAAACAGATACTTTGCCATCGTGGCTGGCAATAAGCTCAGTTCGAAACAAGCGTTGGCTCTTCTTGGTGTTGTCTGGTTTTGGGGTGTACTTATTGGTCTTCTTCCAGTACTGGGCTGGAATCACTACAAATATGGTTCGTATGGATCCCTGTGTAAAACATCCTTTGATTACGACAAAGGTTATATTTTATTCACAGCCGTCACGTGCTTTGGTATACCACTGGTCATAATGATTTACTGTTATATGCGAGTCTTCCTTCGAGTTAGAAGACACCGTAAGYTRATGCAGCACTGGCAGAGACGACGCGAATCGAGTACAAAAAACACTAGAAACATGACAAGTGAAATGCGAACAGCAAAGATTGTCGTCACAGTAGTGCTTGTGTTCGCGGCTGCTTGGACACCATTTGTTCTTGTTCACATACTACAACTTTCTCCCGACATTCAYATTCCTGGAAGTGTCTTTACACTTGTGACTTTGTTCGCAGCAATGCATTCATTCTGTAACCCGATTATTTACACATCAATGAACAGAAAATTCCGCGCCGATTTGMTGCAACTATTTCCATGCTTGAAAAGGATTGTTTGCTGCTGGTCATGTTGCTGTAAAGAATCTCTCAATGAAGTGAACGATTTCGTCATGGAGCCGAGTAGGACTGGGTTRAGGATGTCTCAGATCGATTCATATAAGGGTGGTAGTATAGTAGTCTTTCATGGACAGCGGAATGGACCAGCAAAACTGGACAATCACGAAACTGCCATAAAGGAAGAGAACGATAATCTAGGTAATCATGACGGAATCAATGGAACAGAGAATAATGTTAACGAAGCTTATCAAGTCAAATAAGATGAGAAATTTTCTTGTATGTAGAATCTAGTACTACTGCAAAACGCCGCCATGCCAGCACGATTCCATGCTGAGTAAAAACCAGATTGAATTAAAGAGACAATGTCAATGGATGACATGCGCGAGTAAACTTGAAAACATTAGGCTAGTGTTTTCAAGTTTACGACTCCAAGTTGGCGCGACGCATGACAAAAAAAAGTACTCGTAAACGTAAACAGATCTAGAATATTCCAAAGTGTGTCAAAACATTGATTTACCTCGAAGGTAATACTTTCAAAGTCCGTTAGAGGCAAGACTGTTACTGCGCATGTCATCCATTGACAKTGTCCCTTTAAATATGATACAAGGATCGAGTCTACCTTGAAAAGGAACTGAAATAATGGTTTATAATGGAGTTCCTCAATAATTCCTGAAAGTTTGAAATTAATGAGATTTATCAAGGTAAAATGCTATGGAGATTGTTCCCACAAACCAACACAATAATACAAATATTTGCACTTTATTGAATTATCACTAACACTTTATGCAGTTTTCAAAAACTTGTGAACGAAATTCATAATATTTACAGTTGAGTATCCTATCACTTATCAATCACTTCATAGGTTTTTGAAAACCAACCCGACGTGTATTTTACAAACACTTTATTAATAAAAACTCCTCAAATAGTAGAAATACATGCGTACAAATGTCAMAATCTGCTAATACAAGACAGCTAGTGTCACATGGAAATCATTTAAATACTCTTTTCTCTTTATTTCAAATATTGCTAGATGGGTGGATTTAGGGGTTTGTTAGGTGACCAGACCATGAATCAACAGTAAGTCATGAAAATCAATGAGAGGTAAAGAACCAACTAGCAATATAACTTAAAAGAGAAACAAACCGAAACATCTCTATATTCAAGGATGGGCAATTTAAACTATAATTAAAGTTACTGCGTCCAATTAATACATATTGTCGAGCTAATTTGATTTCTTAATCAATCCTGAGCCAGTCCTYGACCTGATTATTAAAATAACTTACTATCTAAATAAATATAAAGTGGAATAGCAGTTATGATTATGACGGGTCAGCTTAAAATATATCACTCAAAATTATCTCTTTCATATAATGTATATTTACAGGGTAAAACTCACTATGTGCTTCATTGGACGTGAATGGTGGGATACCTTTTGTATGAATACCATTTCCAGATCTCTTAACTGGCAAAAGTTGCATTACTACTGTCTATATCATTTCCAAACCATCACACGTCTATTACATCGACCTGAGCAGTTCGATCACGTGATACTATTATCTATCGACGTCATAACTCAGAAGTAGTATCCCATGGTCTCCCATCCACTTGTTGAACATCGTACCTTCGAGGTCTCGATGATGAGTCCATCTGCGTGGCGTTAACTTCTAGGTCTGGTGGGTAGACTGCGCGGTACTGACGACTGACATAATGACTCTCACGATAAACTGTCCTAGTACCATTCTCACCRTTCAAAGAGTCCGTGCTACCATCAAATGGTCTGGTAAAAAAAACATTACGATTAGTTGACAAATAAAATGTGATAATCAACTCACTCAGCTCCTCTTACACTTTCCTTTTTTTAATGTCGCTTTAATTATACGGCGTTGCATCTTACCTTACACTTAACGATTCTCTGCTTGATCCAAGTGGTACTCTTGCAGGACTGTTCAAAGCATTACGACTACTTGATCTTGAGCTTGGTCTCGAGTCTGGCCTTCGACGAACTTCAAAGTTTCCCTGGATCATGTTCTTTGGMGTTCTAGGCGTTGGGGTTTGTGACTCTAAGATAGTTGTCTGGAGCTCCTTGATTCTTGACTCATTCTTTTCGTTTGCTTCTTGTGCTATGTAAATATCTTTTTTAAGTTTCTCGATTTCTTTCTCTAGGCTTTCGTTTTTCAGCCGTAAATTASTAATGTCCTGATCTTTTTCGTTTACTGATTTAGTTTTAAATTCGAGTTCAGTATTTGAGCTTCTAAGCTCCTTCTCAAGTCGGATAATCTTTTCCTGTTTCTTGAGAAGGTCTTTATTGGATTTCTCGAGCTGATCYTGCATATTCTGTTTTTCTTTGCACGCTTTCTGCAGATCAAACTCCATCTTTGAAACTTTCTCACGCGCTGTTTGCATGTTTTGAGTCGCCTGTTCTAGGGCTCCTGAGCTTTGTCTGTGCACATTTTCTTCTTCTAGTAATTTTTCCTTTACTTTTCTCAGCTCCCTTTGTAGCTCGTTACGGTGTCTTTCAATCTCGTCTTTTTCATATTCGAGCGTATTGCTTTTYTGTTTGAATGAATCCAGTTCTTCTCGTAATCCWCCTTCATTTGATGCCTTCGCCGTCTTCAGTTTGTAATTTTCCATTTTATTCTTATCACTCTCAACCACCAGCGATTTTATTTCCTTTTCTTTCTCTTCAATGTGACGTTTGTAGTTGGAAGACTCCGTCTCTAGGTTAGTGATTCTAGATCTAAGCTGCTCGACCAATGTCGTCTTCTCTACGACTTCCCTTCTGTAGCTTTCGCTGCGATTTTGTAATTCCATGATTTGGCGGTTGAACGTCTTTGTTTCTTCATCTTTGTTATCTCTATCCACCGATAATTTATTCTCCAGTGCCTCTTTATCACGATTAGCAGCGTTCACCTGGYCTTCCATCCTCGCAAGAGTTTCTTTGAGGTCTTCTAACTCGTGCTTCATATCATCGGTCTTCTGGTTGCTTTGCTTAGCTTCCTCGTCTACAACTAGTCGTTCTTGTAATAATGACATCTCGTCCTGCATTTGACTTTGTACCATTCGGCTACTTTCGTAGCTAGCTTCCACCTCGGAGATACGAGTTTGATAAGTGACAGTTTCTTCTTTAAGTCTCATTATCTTGTTTTCTGACGCCTGGCAAGTTTTTTGCAGACTTTCTATTCGTTCTCGGTTGGATTTCTGCTCATGTTCTAGACTGGACAATTTCTTGTGTGCCTCGAGGACTTCACTTTGAAGTTCTTTCTCGCGATTTTGACTCTTTTTCAAAGTTTGCTCAAGACTGGAAAACTTTTGTTCTGTAAATCCACCAGGTCGTTTGTCAGAMGAGAGAAGTTCGTAGTCAGCTTCCAGCTGCAGAAGTTTTTTCTCTGTCTCTTTGCTTTCGCGGGAAAGTTTATCTTTTTCTTTAACAGCTGCCTCCAGTAATGTTTGCAACTCAATATTTCTATTTTCCATCAAGTCCATCTCGTTCTTCAAAGTGTTGCGTTCTGAAACAAGTTCTTTGTTACTTCTCTCTAAATCACCGTTGGTTCTCTGTAAGGCAAACAGACTTTCGTCCAGCCCTGTTTTTTCTTGTTGGAGSATATCCTGTGAMTCTTTCTGTGCTACAATCTTACGATTCAAAGTTGAAACTTCAGTCAAGAGTCGTTCTCGTTCATCATTCCAAGCTTCCATGTCAAAATCATTATTTTGAGCAACAGATTCGACTGTTTCGGCTTGCATGGAAATGATCATCTCTTGGGACATCGAGCTATTGAGTGATCGTTGTTCGGCCAGTTGTTCTCCTACAATCTCTAACTCTGGCTTGAGACGATCAATTTCATCTTGAAGTACATTACAATTTGTCTCCAATTCTGTATACTTTAGCTGCTGCTTCATGAATTCATTTTCGGCATCTCTTTTCTCAATGAGAGCTTTCTCCAAGTCTTCCCTTGTTTTAAGTAGATCTTTTTTGAGGTTTTCGTTATCTGTTGTTAGGGTCTTGTTGTCCTTATCAAGTTTTTCTAGTGCGTACTTTTTGTGAGAAACATCCTTGTGATTATCTTGAACTGACTGCTGATGTTCCAACAGACGACTTTGTAGCTTTGCAATCTCGTCTTTGAGGTAATCATTTCTTGTTTTCAATTCCTCGATGGTACCTTTTCGTTGAGCTTCTTTTTTCAAATGTGACTGCGTCTCTTCCTCCAATTGTTCAATCTTGTCTTTAGCTCCACCAAGTTCGCGCTGTGTGTCATTTTTGCTTTGTAAAGCAACTTGATACGCAGATTCCAGGTCTGACAGCTTTTTCTGTGTGTCGATGAGCTCTCTTTCTTTTGTTGCAAAGGTTTCTTCGGAATCAGTCAAACTTCCCATTAGTTCGTCAACCTTCTTTTGGTATTCAAACAGTTCATCATTGAGTCCTTTGACCTTTTTCTGATAGGCTGTATTGAATGCTTCAGCACGAGTAACTTTATTCTCGGTCGCTTGTAAGTCCTGCTCTAACTTGGTAACTTTTTTGTGCCACGATAAAATTTCGTCTTTGCCAAATTTATCTTTAGCTTCAAGGCTTTTGATAACTTCTTCAAGTTCCTCAAGTCTTTTAATTTTGGATTTGTTCTCATACACCATGGATTCCTTTGCTCTATTGGACTCTGCCAAGTCTTGTTCGACTTTACTTAATCTTGATCTTACAATTGTCAACTCATTTTCTGCATCGCCTTTCTCTTGTTTCAGCTTTTGCAAATTTGATTCCAGCTCCATTATTTTCTTTTGTGTCGACGAATCTTGTTTAGATTTCGTTCTTTCAGATGACGTCAGGGTCTGAATGTCAAAGTGCTTCTTTTGAAGAGATGTAAGTTCCGATTGCACTTTCTTTTTCTCTCGGTCAATGGCATCTAACCTTGCTTTAAGTTCACCGTTACTTTTCTTCAGTTCAACTATTTCACCTTTCAATTTATCCTTTTCCTCTTTGAGAGCTTGGTTTTTAGTTTCAAGATGAGTTGCTTTTCTGGTTGCAGTGATGACATCCATCTGCATTTTATCCATTTTTTCCGACTGGTGGGAATTCTTTAGTCCTGGAGTCGAGGTTTGYACAGCTGAGATATCCTGTTGAAGTTTTTCGTTCTCTCTCTTCAAAGACATCAAATTGAACTCAAGCTCATTAATTTTACCGTCACGCTCGTCTATTGCCTTCTCAAGATTGGAAATTATCTCCTCGTCTTGGTCAAAGTCATTTTTGTAATTTTGTAGCTTGATCTTTAGAGTTCTTATTTCATCTTCTAAAGCAGAATGACGAGTTTTAAGCCAATTGATTTCGTTATCTTTTTCTATCGCATCTTTCTTCAACGATTCTATGCTTCCTTTGAGATCCATGTTTTGTTTCTGYAATGCGACATTCTCCTCTTTGATCCTTGACAAAGCATTTTTCTTCTCTTCAACATCGGCACGAAGATTTGCTTGTTCTCTGAAAACACGTTGCAATTCCTCCTCGGTATCTGCAATCTTCATCTGCTGCTCGATAAGATCTTTTTGCATTTCCTTGTTTTCAAGATTACATGATTGCAATCTTAATTCGTAATCCGCCATCTGACGTTTCATTTCAAAACGATCATTGTCACTATCGTCTCTTTTCTTGATAGCATCATTGATAGAACCGTGCAGACTGTTCAACTCCTTGCGCAGGCTTTGTACTTCTCTCTCTAAATCCTTCTTCTCATTTTGTATGCCTTCAATAAGACTATCTTTACCACCGACATCTTTCGTGTGCTTATCCCACAGAATTTGATACTCTTGGAGCTTTCGTTTCACTTGCAGCAACTCTTCTTCACTTTTTGCCAGCTTGCTTGTCAATTCCTCAATTTGATGTTGACAGTTGTTCTTTTCTTGTTTAGCTTTCCCAAGTTCAAACTCAGTTTTAGAAATCTTCTCATTGGCTTCTCGTAGTTCTCGGTCAAGAACTTCGATTTCATTCTTGGCAGAATCATAACTTTCCTTTAGTGGAGAGAGTTCCTTCTGCATTGCAAGAAGATCGTTTTCTAACTCTTTCTTCTTTTCCTGAAGTGTTTCCTCGCTTGACTCTAGTCGAGACAGTGTAACGTGTACTTCAAGCAGTTTATCTTGCATATCCTGTTCGCGCTCTTCATTTATCTTAAAAGCCGTCTCCATTTCTGC